GTGTACTAAGTAATAAATATTATGTTTCAAAGTTTACACATTTACTGAAAACCAGGTTGGATTTTAATTTAATATTGCACTTTTTGCGTGTTATGGATCAGAAAAATGGGTGATAGCGTGATGACGTAAAACTTTTGCAAATGATATCCAAGGGAATTTCCCGACTCGATTGTGCAACACGTACACGCATGCGCTGTTTACTATTGATCTGATGCCTGAATGTTTGCATCCGAGAATAAACACTGCCCACACCTAGTCACTTGGAACTAGTTGCTTGGAGCACATTAGCAAACATGCCATGCTTAGTATCTACACATTAAATTAAAAGGAACCAATGGTATTTGAATCTAACTACAGTACTGAAAGGTAGGGGCTGATACAAGGTGCCGAGCCCTGGCCTTCTGCCCCTTTTCCCATGCTCTTTCTCTCATAATAACTATAAGTCCAAAACATTGTTGGTGCAGCGCACCCCTTCCTCCCGAAGAAAAATCGTCACTCCCCCAGTGCCCTCCCCACTGAAAATGTGTTGGTCCTATAATTGATCATGGTTAACGGGTTTAGCGGAAATTACCCCCAACCCACCACCATCACACATCCAACCCCCCCCCCCTTTCCCCCACCCGCCTCCCCCGGCAACGCCGCTGTTTCCGGGCCGTGTGCGCCGGCACGACATTGGTAAAGAAAATTCGTAGGTGCACAGAGGCGTAGCAAGGTTATTTTTATTGGAGGGGGGGGGTCAAAAAAGTTCTTTAAGAGGCACTCACATACCGTGCTGAAATGTACACGGGTGTTTTTTTCTCCGGACACTTGGCCTCCGAACAATCATTTTGGGGGTGGGGTGGGGTGGGGGTAGGTACCATCTTCCAATGGGGGCGCTGTTCAAACCGGACAATCATGCACACTTTTGGGCAATAGATGGCGATTTTCAAGGCGGCACAATTGCCGCGCGAAATTCTAAAAAGGGCGCTCGTAAAAGGACGCTGGTAAAAACGGGATTTTTTTGGGTTTTTTCAAAGGGCACTTTTTTTAAAGGGCACTTGTTTACAAAAAAAATGAGCACTCATCCAAATTATTGGGGGTGGGGAATGCTGGTTAGTAAAGGGCACTTGAATGGAAAAGGGCAGTCTTTACAAAATATTGGGGGGGGGGGGCAAATGGGTCCCTAGATCCAGAAATACAATCAATGAAGTGAAAGGGTATAAATGTTACTTGGGCCACTCTCACTCGTGATGTGACAAACTTCAATGCCTATTAAATGCATATTCAAAGCATAACCCAGATTCTGCAGTAACCCAAGTAAAATTGACACCCTTCCATCCCACTGAATTGATTGTATTTCTGGATCTAGGGACCCAAATGGAATGGTATGAAAAGGAGTGGATTGCAAAATAGTCAGGCTTTAATGTAATATATAATTTCATTGAAGAAAAAAATTTGTTTGATGTGAGTTATGAGTTCAAGTTTTCGATGTGCAGTTGTTGGTCTTTGAAAGTGCTATCCGTTCTGTGATTTGAAGATAAATTGAGATTTTCTTCTGATAAGTTGTCATGTTTTTTTCGAAAATTTTAATTGGCAAAATATCATTTATGAAATGTGATATTTTGGGAAATTTCATAGGTTTTCATACTGAAGGTACAGAGCATTTTGTTGTTTCAGTGATGTTAACCACATTGTTGGCCAGTATTAGCCAAACTCCGAACAAACACTTTCAAAATCATTCATTTTTGGCGATGTATGACAACTGCGCATGCCTATTACCATGGTGCTATCCACAAAGCAATGAAAACTCTTTCTTCTAGCATTAGTGAGCACGGATCTTTATTATCCAGGCGCGGATCCAGGGTGTGTTGGGGGGGGGGGGGGTTACAAAAAACAGCTCTGTCCAAACATTCTTTCATAGAAATTAATTAAAAAATAATGCAACCCCCCCCCCTTCCCCTCTGACATCCCCCCCCCCCAAAAAAAAAAGATACCTGGTAATAATGTCCGACTGTGCACAAAATACGGACAGAGCCAGCTTGGTTGGGGGTATTTGTACACTATTCTGTAATATAGTGTTAATAATCGTCGGATTTGAACAGCGCCCCCATTGAAAGTATGGGGAAAAAACCTGTCTACATTTCAGATTTTTTAGCTGATGAACACCCCCCCCCCTACCTCTGCAAAAAATCCTGGATCCGCCCCTGATCACCGTAGTGAGCAGCTAAGCAAGCTGGCCGCCAGGTGCTTTCTATATTGATAACACTTTGAAGTACTAGAGTTCTGACTCCTTCCGTTCATAAAAAAACCAACAGTTTCTGTGAGAATTTACATTTGATGTTGAAACATAGTGAAACATTGTGCCCCCAAGAATTTGTTGTCAGTTTATTATACATGTACAAGGCTGGTTTGTTCTTTCTTTGAAGTTGATTTCTGGGAGCCCACCTAACTTAAAGGCACTGAAATTTGGCTCACAGTCAGTGCCTTGCCTCAAATCATACGGAACCAGTGTTGCAGTACTCGTACTCGGTACTCATACTCAAGTACTACTCGAGTACTTTTTTCCCGAGTACTCGTACTCGTACTCGAATGTCAAAGTACTGGTACTCCAAATGACGACACTCGTACTCGGGCAGCAAAGTGCTCGTACTCGACATGTCAAAATAGTACTCGAGCATCAAAGTAGTCGTACTCAAATAGAAGGTATAGACTGACTTACCGCGGCCTTATTTTATTATCGATACTTTCAGATGGAAATGGTTGATTGGCTTGCAAAGAAATCGAAGTTTCCTGATTTTTCTCTGTGTACGACTGGACAAACACACTTAACAGCTAGCCGTGAGTCGGTCCGTATCGATCTGACTGGGCCTGGGCAAATCACGCACAATGAACCATTTGCCGAATGGCCGTATTCGGAAATAGAAGTACTTGTACTCGGAATACAAGTACTCGTTTTCGGAAGTAAAGGTACTCGTACACGGAGACATGTACTTGTACTCGGTAACCTAAGTACTCGGCAGTACTCAGGTTCTCGAAAAAAAGTACTGACTACAACACTGTACGGAACATTCGAGCAACGTGAATATAAATATTGACACATTTTCAACGAGCACAGAATGATGAAATGATGAGGGGAAGCCCCATACCCGAATGAGAAATGTCGTCTGGTTGCTAGACAATGGCAAACTAGCCCATGTCTGTTTTCCTTGCTGTCAATTATAAGCTGTGGCAGATGCAATGTGCTGTCAGTTGTTGCACATTGATTTGGTTTGGATGAGCTTATAGGCAGTTGCTTAAAAAACCCCAAAGATGTAAGTGTATAGTATGCATGAGAAATCGTCTGAATATTGTCAAGTTCGTTCACAATTTGGTATTCAAGTTCGCAGTTGGATATTTGGTGTAACAATGAAACCGTGGTCTGTGAGATTCACTTAACAATATGAATGTATTCACCCAATGGTCTATATATAGTCAGATTTAGTTACTTGAGTGTATTTAATTAAATACGAAATGAAGATTTAGAATTTCGCGAATAACGTTTGAGTTGACTTTAGGTATAACTGGAAATGTCAGTTTCCTGCAAAATAGGCAGTATAAACCAGAATTCATCTATGACTTTAAAACCCTTTTCTTCTCAGGGCATCGCGGCGCACTTTGGCTACGCCTGTTGGACATTTCCATCTGTCATTGCTTTGTAACCGAAGTCGACTCACTGATATTACCGCCGACTTCAAACGTCGTCATCTCTTGGCCTACTTGGAGGAGAAGAAGAATAAAGCGGAACGTCACGCCATTCGTAACCTTCTAGGCGTGCTCGCTTACAGGCAACAAAACGACCGTCAGGGCGCCTTGGATTACTTCAATCACATCCTCTCTCCGGGAGAAGATCCAGACAACCTGAACGCCATGGCCAACCGTCATTTTGTGATGTCTACGTCCAGAGGTGGAATTCCCGCGGCTGCTCCTGACGAGCCTGATTTATCTACAGAAGAAGGGAAGAGGGCACAAGCCAGGAGATACGCCGAACAAGCCTTTGCCCTCATTGACGAAAAGAACGACGATGCTATCGATTACGAGGTATGCAGCAGAGCGCTCGAGCTTTGCAATCAGGCGATGGAGCTGGCGGGTCACCTCGTCGATCTAGACGAGAGCAATGATTGGAAGTACCTGGCTGGAGAAGCCAGCTACGAAATGTTACGAAAAACAATGACGACAAGTGAGACACACGACGAGGCCTATCAAGCTTTGGAGAATGCTGTCTGGAGCTTTTGGACCATAGCCGAAAATCCATCTACGGATGTCAACATGAAAAGCTCGGCCTGGGTTCATATTGGTTTCATCTTTCGCTGGGCATCAAAATGGGATGTGCGGATAGGAGACGTACCAGAATCTTTGGCGGAATTTATCGACGACCCGGAAAGATGCGTACGCAAGGCGAGGGAAATAGCACCAGATTCCCCGCAGGTTCTCAATTATCTTGCTCGTTTTCGTGGCCAAGCCGGTGATGTGGAAGAAGCACTGAGGCTATACAAGAAGTCCATTTTTCTACCAAGCACCAAAGAGAATGTCTTCGCGTACTCAAGCAGGGCCGAACTCTGCCTCGAGGAACACAAACGTGCCGTCAGCGCAGATGCTCCCGATCGGAGATACCTTGATCAAGCCAAAGACGACTTGGAGTACATCCTTACGAAGCACGAATCGCCATTGGATTATGCGATGCTGGCTGATGTGTACCTACAAATGGCTAAGATCACCATCGACTCAGCAACAAGACGGGAGTACCTCACAAAGGCTCTGCACAACTGCACCATGTCAGAGAACTGTCAGAGAGGCTACAAACTGGACCGACTCCACAATGTCCGCGGACGATGTCTGTGTTTATTCGGCGAGCACAAAGAAGCAAGGAAGTCATTCGGACGGGGAATTAGGTGCGAAAAGAAATCGGGTTTCATGTGGGGAGAATGCAGGAGCCTTCTCGCCGATTGCGAAGATCACCATCGTCTGGGAGACGATTAGTAGAGATGACCACAGACCAGTGGCTTATCCAGGAACTGTAGGGGGATGTTTCACAGGAAACAATTATTATTCTGAAATCTTGAATCAAAAGTCCACGTACAGCAATATTATGATAAAGTTTTACTTACACGGGACTGCAGTTGAAATTCAGTGGAGTAAAATCCCTAGCGAGAAAGGAAAATAGTTCTCCACGCTCCAGCTTGTACATTATTTTGTAGTTTTAAAGAAAAGAAAACAAACCATGGTAAACATGTATTTACATATTTGCATCTTAGCATGTTTTTCGTTTAAAATACAATTATGAGACCGACTGGCACAAATTTGCAACCAACAGATGTATAATACAACATTTAGGTTACTTTATGCGCTATTTGTATAGTGTTGCTGTCTTCTGTTTGTAACTGAATATGTTTAATCTAGAACTCATTAAATCATAATGTAACTTCATTGGTTAAGTCGAAAGTAGAGCTTTGTGAACTGTTAAGTTGAAGTTTTTCATGGTAAGTTTTGATATTTGTAGCGGTATATACATTCTGGAAGTTCAAATATTTTGAAGTTTGAGACTGTTAATCGTGTGTGCATACTGCCTATTATTATTTTTAACGTAGACTGTCATCAACCCTTCACTTTTCACAAAGAAAGTGCGTAGGTTTAGCTTTTGAAGAGGTGTGTGAACCCTGTGAAGCTACACGTACATAATGTAAGACATATTTGTAAAGTCATAACCAATAATGAAGTGTATTTGTTTCCTCAGTGTGTTCATGTTATTGCCGTTATATAATGTAGGGGACTGTAGCTTATAACTGAATTAGCAAGACTGTACTTGTCATAACATATACGAATATTACACACGGAAAGAAGACCGATTGGGAGGAGTTTCCTCGGGTACGGGTTGCGACAGAAATATCGTGAAATTGTTTTGAGAGGTGTTCTCCTTTGATTCCATGTAGAACCCCAAAACACATATCGGTGCATACTGTAAATAATCGTGTTGAAAACACAAACTGTTTCCGCTGTTCTTACTGTATATAGATATACATTCTAGTGTTAGAAAAATAATACTCTCGCAATTCAGAGCAAACACTCTTAGCTGTATGCTCACCGTTTTCCCTCTTGCGACACCGTAATGTTTCGTTATCAACATATTAGTTTTAGAAATAAGATTTTAGGTGTGTTTTTTTATTCTTCGATGATGTGGTGTTCAGAATAATAATGTTTTAAATAATGTTATAGCGTCGCTTTGTTCCTCAATATCTAAGAAATGATTACCAAATATAGGATGATAATTGCGGAAACGACTAGGCAAACAGACAGTCAGTTAGGAACCATTAAAACATCAAACTGTGTGTTTTGTTTAATGCTTTCCTTTAAAATGTACCTTTCTGTTCCATTTCACCTTATTTTCAATTTTCGTTTTGCCATTTTGAAGTGTATTTTGGTGCCTTTTGCTAGAATTAAGGATATTTTCTGTCGTCAATTTTCTTTTCCTTGGTGATTCGCTATTGTTAAAGTACATGACAGTAAGCCAATGAGCAACCCTTTCTCACATTATTTTTCAATGAGCAAAGTTTGGGTTCACAAGTTGAACAGAACACCCCTATATTGAACAGTGTCTTCCTCAAATGACATCACAGCAACAGCGTCCTCAGTAGTCCGGAAAAGCATGGGTAATTTTAAATGTTTAAAAAAATGCACTCTTCAATAAAAACAACAAAAAGGGATATCAAATAGTTTTAGTAGGAGTTGTACAAAAACAAAAACATTGTGTTTCTAAGAAAAATTCTTCTTTAAAAACTGTGTGTCATTAGCATGATCTATTATTGTAAAGGTGAATATATACTATTTTCGAGAGTGCCAAATTTAGTGTTTTTCATTGTTTACTTATTTTCAAAAGTCTTGGTCACAAGAAGCCAACATAATGTTGGACATTAAAGATGCGTTTCCTATGCTGTACATGTACTTGAATTTCACTTTTGAATGACACATCGAACCAAAATCCACCAAATTTAGTTGTTCAGTTTATTTTCTTAACAAAATTCGAATGATTGGAAGAAAATTCGACTCTCGTAGTGTTGGTTCATCTGTTCACTTTGTGCGCAAAGTGAACTACATTTAGAGGGTAGCAGACGCCCTTTATCGGAATGAAGTCCCTCCGTTACCAAAAAAATATACAAATTGAAAATTCGTCAGGAAAATAAATCCGAATTATTCACATCGGATGTGACTTGCAGCCATTGTTTACCTAGCCTTTAGTCAAGTCCCACGCGCCTATAGGACCATCCGGACACGTAACGCACCCTGGATGCTTGCCCGTAAAAAGACTAGCACGAGCGGTGAAGCCTCGCGGCTACGCCGCTCGCGTAATTTTTTTCCTAGGAGGGTTAGGGGCAAAGTCATGAATAATTCAGTTTTTTCCTTTGAATCATTGCAAGACTTAGGTTCTCGTTCTATTTTCCCCTTAATTTAAAATTATCTCAGTGATAAATTTGGAGAAGAAAAATAGCTGATGAAAATGAGCAGCGACGACGTGGATTCGAACCAAGGATCTTTGTATCCATAGCTCATTTCGCTATCCACTAGGCTAATGTGTGGTAGCTCGACGACAACCGTTCTTTAAAATGCTTTAATGTATTGTAACTAGTTGAGTAACTAACAACAATGCTGTTGATGTCATTGTCCGTTCTCATGGATAAACATGAATTATTCATGACATTGCCCCTAACCCTCCTAGGAATAAAAATTACGCACGCCGCGTGTCCTAGTCTTTTTACGTGTCAGCATCCGGGGTGCGTCACGTGTCCGGGTCAGCGCGTGGGACTTGACTAAAGGCTATTGTTTACCTCGCAGTACGCGTTTCCAGCAGTGAATAAAGCCATCCAGATATTATTTTTTTTTCGAAAGGAAACATAAGCGTGACTGGAATAAAGACTAGTACCAACATGTTGTGCCCTAAATTCCTTCACGTGATTATAACATAAAAACCGCAGATTTTTGTATAGTATTGTGTGAACTATTAAGATATTCTTAATTTAAAGGTTTAAACAAGTGCTGAAAACTACGTTGGATTTTAATATAATTAGGCCTATGTACTTTTTTGCGTGTTATGGAGCAGAAAAAAAATGGGCGATAGCGTTTTGTGGAGTAAAATTGTTGCAAAGGGAATTTCCCGACTCGATTGTGCAACACGTACACGATAAATCCAAAACATTGTGGGTGCAGGCGCACCCCCCCCCCCCCCAAGTCACTCTTCAATTGCCCTCCCCACTGAAAATGTGTCGGTCCTATAGTGATCCTGGTTAACGGGTTTAGCAGAAATTACCCCCAACCCACCACCATCACACACCCGACCCCCCCCCCCCTCTTCCCCCTCCCCCGCCTCCCCCGGCAACGTCACTGTTTCCGGGCCATGTGCGCCGGCACGACCCGTGCGAATATAAGTTCGTAGATCGCACAGGCGTAGCAAAGTCGTTAAAGGGCACTCGCACATCCGTGCTGAAATGTACGCAGGGTTTTTTCTCCGGACACTTTGCCTCCGGACACTTTGCCTCCGTACAATCAAATTGTGGGGTGAGGTGGGGGGGGGGGGGGGAAAGCAGGCATGTATCATCTTCCAATGGGGGCGCTGTTCAAACCGGACGATCATGAACACTATGGGACAATAGATGGCAATTTTCAAGGCGGCACAATTGCCAGTGGTCGCGCGAAATTCTAAAAAGGGCACTCGTAAAAGGACGCTGGTAAAAACGGGCACTTTTTGGCTTGTTTTTTTTTTTAAAGGCACTTTTTTTTTAAAGGGCTTATTATAAAGGGCACTTGTTTGAAAAAATGAGCACTCATAAAAATATTGGGGGTGGGAATTCTGGTTAGTAAAGGGCACTTGAATGGAAAAGGGCAGTCTTTACAAATTGGGGGGGGGGGGTAAATGGTTCCCTAGATCCAGAAATACAATCAATGAAGTGAAAGGGTGTAAATTTTACTTGGGCCACTCTCACTCGTAATGTGACAATCTTAAATGCATATTCAAAGCATAACCCAGATTCAGCAGTAACCCAAGTAAAATTGACACCCTTCCATCCCACTGAATTGATTGTATTTATGGATCTAGGGACCCAAATGGAATGGTATAAAAAGGAGTGGATTGCGAAATAGTCAGGCTTTAATGTAATATATAATTTCATTGAAGAAAAAAAATTGTTAGATATGAGTTATGAATTCAAGTTTTCGATGTGCACTTTGTTGGTCTTTGAAAGTGCTATCCGTTCTGTGATTTGAAGATAAATTGAGATTTTCTTTTGATAAGTTGTCATGTCTTTTCGGAAATTGTAATTGGCAAAACATCATTTATGAAATGTGACATTTTGGGGAATTTCATAAGGTTTCATACTGAAGGTACAGAGCATTTTATCGTTTCAGTGATGTTGACCACATTGTTAGCCAGTATAAGCCAACTCCGGAACAAACACTTTCAAAATCATTCATTTTTGGCGATGTATGACAACTGCGCATGCGTATTACCATGGTGCTATCCACAAAGCAATGCAAACTCTTTCTTCTAGCATTAGTGAGCACGGATCTTTATTACCCAGGCGCGGATCCAGGGGGTGGGGGGGGGGGGGTTACAAAAAACAGCTCTGTCCAATTTTTTTTCATAGAAATTCATGAAAAAAATATAATGCGATACCCCTCCCCCTTCCCCTCTGACACCCCCCACCCCCCAAAAAATTATACCTGGTAATAATGTCCGACTGTGCACAAGAACGGACAGAGCCAGCTTGGTTGGGGGTATTTGTACACTATTCTGTAATAATAGTGTTAATAATCGTCGGATTTGAACAGCGCCTTTATTGAAAGTATGGGGAAAAAACCTGTCTACATTTCAGATTTTTTCCCTTGATGAAACCCCCCTTGCAAAAATTCCTGTATCCGCCTCTGATTACCGTAGTGATCAGCTGAGCAAGCTGGCCGCCAGGTGATTTCTATATTGATAACACTTTGAAGTACTTGAGTTCTGACTCCTTCTGTTCATAGGAAAAAAAACTAGTTTCTGTGAGAATTTACATTTGATGTTGAAACATAGTGAAACATTGTGCCCCCCAAAATTTGTTGTCAGTTTATTATACATGTACAAGGCTGGTTTGTTCTTTCTTTGAAGTTGATTCCTGGGAGCCCACCTAACTTAAAGACACTGAAATTTGGCTCACAGTCAGTGCCTTGCCTCAAATCATACGGAACCAGTGTTGCAGTACTCGTACTCGGTACTCATACTCAAGTACTACTCGAGTACTTTTTTCCCGAGTACTCGTACTCGTACTCGAATGTCAAATTACTCGTACTCGAAATGACGGCACTCGTACTCGGGCAGCAAAGTGCTCGTACTCGACATGTCAAAATAGTACTCGATCATCAAAGTAGTCGAACTCGAATAGTAGGTATAGACTGACTTACCACGGCCTTATTTTATTATCGATACTTTCAGATGTAAATGGTTGATTGGCTTGCAGAGAAATCGAAGTTTCCTGATTTATCTCTGTGTACGACTGGACAAACACAATAACAGGTAGCCGTGAGTCGGTCCGTATCGATCTGGCCTGCTCCCGATTTCACGAAGCGCTGTGACGCGTCGCAACTCCAGTTACGACGTGTAACACGTCGCAACTCGCGACGCATCGTATAATCCATTTCACGAAAGTTGCGATGTGTTGAACGCTTCCTAAGTTCCTTGACAACGGCTTAAAACACGTCGCAAGCTACGACGTGTCTAGTGGTCGTCGCAAAACAAGAGTCCGTTTTGAGCCAGTTTAGTTCCATAAACATTACAAAAAATGAGATTATAATATCGAGGCCATGTGTGTAAAGTTGTAAATAGAAAATTCATTGAATAATTATGAATTAGCCTGGAATATTGCAGTTGAAATTTCAAAGTAGCTACACAGTCCACTGAGAGCTCGTTTTCCTTTAAAATTGGATCGCACGGCCGCCATTTTGTCCTACGTTTTAACAAATTTCGAGCGGAGACCCGACGACTCTTTGTTGAATACCAGACGACTATTTACTGTACGCCGGCTTAATACATAAAATAGTCACCGAGTTGTGCTATAAATACACATACGACGCCTCGCACTTACGACGTGTTTTGTGAAATGGATCGCAGGACGCGTCGCAGCTTCGGCGCATCGTAGGGATTCGATGCATCGTAAGTTACGATGAGTTTCGTGAAATCGGGTGCAGCTGGGCAAATTACGCACAATGAACCATTTGCCGAATGGCCGTATTCGGAAATAGAAGTACTTGTACTCGGAATACAAGTACTCGTACTCGGAAGTAAAGGTACTCGCACACGGAGACATGTACTTGTACTCGGAAGTACAAGTACTTGTACTCGGTGACCTAAGTACTCGGCAGTACTCGGGTACTCGACTACAACACTGTATGGAACATTCGAGCAACGTGAATATAAATATTGACACATTTTCAACGAGCACAGAATGATGAAATGATGAGGGGAAGCCCCATACCCGCATGAGAAATGTCGTCTGGTTGCTAGACAATGGCAAACTAGCCCATGTCTGTTTTCCTTTCTTGTCAAATATAAGCTGTGGCAGATGCAATGTGCTGTCAGTTGTTGCACATTGATTTGGCTTGGATGAGCTTTTACGCAGTTGCTTTAAAAAAAACCCAAAGATGTAAGTGTATAGTATGCATAAGAAATCGTCTGAATATTGTCAAGTTCGTTCACAATTTGGTATTCAAGTTCGCAGTTGGATATTTGGTGTTACAATCAAACCGTGGTCTGTGAGATTCACTTAACAATATGAATGTATTCACCAAATGGTCTATTATATAGTCAGAGTTAGTTACTTGAGTGCAAAATAGGCAGTATAAACCAGAATTCATCTATGACTTTTAAAACCTTTTTCTTCTCAGGGCATCGCGGCGCACTTTATCTACGCCTGCTGGACATTTCCAACCGTCTTTGCTTTGTAACCGAAGTCGACTCACTGATATTACCGCCGACTTCAAACGTGGTCATCTCTTGGCCTACTTGGAGGAGAAGAGGATCAAAGTGGAACGTCACGCCATTCGTAACCTTCTAGGTGTGCTCGCTTACAGGCAAGAAAACGACCGTCAGGGCGCCTTGGATTACTTCAATCACATCCTCTCTCCGGGAGAAGACCCAGACAACCTGAACGCCATGGCCAACCGTCATTTTGTGATGTCTGCGTCCACAGGTGGAATTCCCGCGGCTGCTTCTGAGCCTGATTTATCTACAGAAGAAGGGAAGTGTGCACAAGCCAGGAGATACGCCGAACAAGCCTTTGCCCTCATTGACGAAAAGAACAACGATGCTATCGATTACGAGTTATCCAGCAAAGCGCTCGAGCTTTGCAATCAGGCAATGGAGCTGGCGGGTCACCTCGTCGATCTAGACGAGAGCAATGATTGGAAGTACCTGGCTGGAGAAGCCAGCTACGAGATGTTACAGAAAACAATGAGAAAAATAGAGACACACGACGAGGCTTTTCAAGCTTTGGAGGATGCTGTCTGGAGCTTTTGGACCATAGCCGAAAATCCATCTGCGGATGTCAACATGAAAGGCTCTGCCTGGGTTCGGATTGGTTTCATTTTCCGCAGGGCATCGGAATGGGATGTGCAGATAGGAGACGTACCAGAATCTTTAGCGGAATTTATCGATGACCCGGAAAGATGCGTGCGCAAGGCGAGGGAAATAGCACCAGGTTCCCCTCATGTTCTCAATTATCTTGCCTTTTTTCGTGGCAAAGCTGGTGATGTGGAAGAAGCTCTGAGGCTTTACGAGGAGTCCATCCGTCTGCCAAGCACCAACGAGAATTTCTTCGCGTACTCAAGCAGGGCCGAACTCTGCCTCGAGGAACACAAACGTGCCGTCAGCGCAAATGCTCCCGATCGGAAATACCTTGATCAAGCCAAAGACGACTTGGAGTACATCCTTACGAAGCACGAAACGCCATGGGATTATGCGATGCTGGCTGATGTGTACCTACACATGGCTAAGATCACCATCGACTCAGTAACAAGACAAGAGTACCTCACAAAGGCTCTGCACAATTGTTTCAAGTCAGAGAACTGCCAGAGAGGCAACGAACGGCAGTTCCAACTTTACAAAATCCGCGGACGATGCCAGTGCTTACTCGGCCAGCATAGAAGAGCAAGGGAGTCGTTCAGACTGGGAATGAGATGCGAAAAGAAATTGGGCTACAAGTGGGGAGAATGCGGAAGCCTTCTAACCGGTTGCAAATATCGCCATCGTCTGGGAGACAATTGCTAGAGATGCCCAGAGACCAGTGGCTTATCCAGGTACTGTAGGGGGATGTTTCACAGGAAAATATAATTATTCTGAAATCTTGAATCAAAAGTCCACGTACAGCAATATTATGATAAAGTTTTACTTACATGGGACTGCAGTTGACGTTCAGTGGAGTAAAATCCCCAGGTAGAAAGGAAGATAGTTCTCCACGCTCCAGCTTGTACATTATTTTGTAGCTTTCAAGAAAAGGAAAAAAACCACGGTATACATGTATTTACAAATGTGCATCTTCGTTTTTCTTTTATAATAAAATTCTTCATGAGACCGACTGGCACAAATTTGCAACCAAAAGATGTATAATACAAAATTTAGGTTACTTTATGCGCTATTTGTATAGTGATACTGTCTTCTGTTTGTAACTGAAAATGTTTAATCAAGAAATCATTAAATCATAATGTAACTTCATTGGTTAAGTCGAAAGTATAGCTTTGTGAACTGTTATGTTGAAGTTTATTCATGGTAAGTCTTGATATTTGTAGCGGTATATACATTCTGGAAGTTCAAATATTTTGAAGTTTGAGACTGTTAATCGTGTGTATACTGCCTATTATTATTTGTGACGTAGACTGTCACCAACCCTTCACTTTTCACAAAGAAAATGCGTAGGTTTAGCTCTGGAAGAGGTTTGTAGTTTTTGAACCATGGGAAGCTACATGTACATAATGTAATACATATTTGTTAAATCATCACCAATAATGAAGTGTATTTGTTTCCTCATCTTGTTCATGTTATTGCCATTATAATAATATAAGGGACTGTAGCATATATTTCTGAATTATCAAGACTGTAGTTCTAATAACATACACGAATATTACACATTGGAAGAAGTGCGTTTTATCGGGTACCGGTTGCAACAGAAATATCGAGAAATTGTTTTGAGAAGTGTTATCCTTTGAACCCACGTAGCCCCAAAATACACATCGGTGCATGATGCATGTAAATAACCGCCTGGAAAACACAAACTGTTTCTGGACCCCTTTTAAATAACGTTGTAACGTCGCTTTGTTCCTCATTCTAGTGTCAGAAAAATAGTACTCTAGCAATTCAAAGCAAACACTCGTAGCTGTATGCTCACACCATTTTCCCCTCTTGCTACACCGTAATGTTTCGTTATCAACATGTTAATTTTAGAATTACGATTTGAGATGGGTTTTTTTGTTCTTCGATGATGTGGTGTTCAGAATAATGATGTTTTAAATGGGCCGTATCATAAGTCCGACGACTCATAGGTCCGACGCCTCATAAGTCCGAAATTTCGGATTCATGAGGCGTCGGACTTATGAGGCATAACATTCTATTATTCAGCCTCATAAGTCCGACGCCTCATAAGTCCGACGTCGGACCTATGAGACGTCGGACCTATGAGGCGTTGGACCTATAAAACGTCGGACTTATGAGGCGTCGAACCTATGAGGCGTCGATTATGGGCCATTATTTGGTTGGGGGATGCAATTTTGTCGGACTTATGAGGCGTCCGGGACCTATGAGGCGTCGGACTTATGAGCGGACCCCTTTTAAATAAGGTTGTAACGTCGCTTTGTTCCTCATTATCTAAGAAATGATCTCGATAAATTAAATGATAATTGTGGAAACGACTAGGCAAACAGACTGTCAGTTAGGACATTAAACTCTGTATTTAATGCTTTCCTTTCAAATGTACCTTTGAGTTCCATTTTACCTTATTTGAATTTTTTGTTTTGCCATTTTTAAGGGTTTTTTTAGTGCCGTTTGCTAGAAGTTTGGATATTTTACTGTCGTAAATTTTCTTTTCCTTGGTGATTCACTATTGTTGAAGTATATGTCAGTAAGCCAATGAGCAACCTTTTCACACAAATGTTTTCAATGAGCAAATCTTGGGTTCACAATTTGAACAGAAATCGCCAATTGTGTCTTCCTGAAATGACATCGCAGCAACAGCGTCCTTAGTTGTCCAGAAAAGCATGGTTGATTTTAAATGTTTAAAAAAGTGCACTTTTCAATAAAATTTACCAAAAAGGATGTCAAATATAGTTTTAAGAGGAGTTGCACAAAAACAAAAACATTGTGTTTCTAAGAAAAATGTATCGATGGCTTCTTTATAAACTGTGTGTCATTAGCATGATTGGGCCCAATTTCATGGCGTTGCCTAGTATACGATTTCCTATTATTATGTACATAATGACTGCTCATTATTTTTGAGAGTGCCAAATTTATAGTTTTTTTATTGTTTACTTATTTTCAAAGGTCTTGGTCACTAGAAACCAACATACTGTTTTACATTAAAGATGCGTTTCCTATGCTGTACATGTATTCGAATTTCACTTTCACGACACATCGAACCAAAATCCACCAACGTTAGTTGTTCAGTTTATTTCTAAACAAAATTCGAGCGATTGGCAGACAATTTGGCTCTCGTAGTGCGGGTTCGTTTGTTCATTTGTGCGCAAAATGAAAAACATTTAGAGGGTTGTAGACGCCCGATATCGGAATGATGTTCCGCCCCCCCCCCACATACAAATTGAAAATATGTCAGGAAAATAAATCTGTATTGTTAACATCGGATGTGACGTTTAATGCAGCCATTGTTTACGTCGCAGTACGCGTTTCCAGCAGTGAATAAAGCCATCCAGTTTTGAGATTCTGTCGAAAAGAAACATAACCGTGACTGGAATAAAGACTAGCACCAACATTTTGTACCCTAAATTCCGTCGCGTGATTATAACATAAAACCGCAGATTTTCGTAAAGTTGCGTGGCCTAATAAATATTCTATTTCAAGGTTTACACTACTGCTGAAAACCACGTTGGATTATTAATTTAATAATGCACTTTTTTCGTGTTATGGAGCAGAAAAATGGGTGATAGCATGTAATGTTGCAAAGGGCAAAAGACTCGATTGTGCAACACGCATGCGCTGTTTACTATTGATCTGATGCCTGAATGTTTGCATCCGAGAATAAACACTGCCCACACCTTGTCACTTGACACATATCTTCGGTTGCTTGGAACACATTAACAAACATTAATAACAAACATGCCATGCTTAGTGTTTGCACTTTAAAGGGAACCAATGGTGGTTGAATCTAACTACAGTACTTAAAGGTAGGGGCTGATACAATGTGCTTAGCCCACTCAGCATTACTTACTAAGACGCTTGGCCTTCTGCCCCTTTTTCCTCGCCCCTTTCTAATAATAAGTCCAAACCATTGTGGGTGCAGGCGCACCCTCCCACCCCCAAAAAAATCGTCACTCCTCCAGTGCCCTCCCCATTGAAAATGTGTTAGTCCTATAAGTGGTCATGGTTGACGGTTTTAGCAGAAATTACCCCCGGCAAGGCCCCAACCCATTACCATCACACATCCAACCCCCTCTCCCCTCCCCCTCCCCCGACAACGCCGCTGTTTCCGGGCCGTGTGCGCCGGCACGACCCGTGCGAAAGAAAGTTCGTAAATTGCAGAGGCGTAGCAAGGCAATTTTTATTGGGGGGGGGGGGTAAAAAGTTCGTTAAAGGGCACTCGCACATCCCTGCTGAAATGTCAACAGGGGTTTTTTTCTCCGAACACTTGGCTCCTGTACAATCAAATAGTTGGTGGGTGGGTGGGATCGGTTAGGACCGATAATGTAACAACAATTGACTGATATCGGTCAATTTTTGTTACATTATCGGTTAGCGATAAAATATCGGTTAATTTGCGTGACATTATCGGTTGGTGATACGTTATCTGTTGGTTACTACATTATCAGTTGTAACACAGGACTTACTTGTAAATATTTGCATATGAATGAGCCTTTTTTGGCCAAGTGGGTGTATTTTTGTTGCATTTTATTTTAGCTTGTCGGTTCAATAAACAACATTCAACAAACTGGGACTATCAAGTGTTTTTTTTTCAGCACAGGTTGTATTTTATTTACTTTATATTTAATACGTATGAATTTAGTAAAAATTTACAAATTAAGGCATTTTTTAAAAAATATAACATATGGAAATCGTTATTGCATGTGGAAAACTGGAAACTGTTGTTAAAAGTTTGCTTTGTATAAGTGAGATCAAATATTGTGTGTACAAACTATTTTACAATGGCCTCGTTCCACTTTGATAGACACTAGCCAGTGTTGACATTAATTGTGCGCTTCCAACAATCACAGCAGATACTATTGCAGCTAATACCCCCATTCCATGCCAGCTGATAGCCAATTTCTCTCCCTTCTCAGTGTGTAGACCAACCCTCAGTGTTTTAAAGTTTAAAGAAACTTCAAGTTTAGTACAGAAGAAACAAACGCTGGAGTTTGTGTCCTTCCTAATTTCAAATCACTTACATTCAGCTGATATGTGGGCTGACAGTGCCGAAGTATAAGCGTCTAATATATGTGCAAATACATATTATCCAGAAACAAAAAGAAAAGTTTTGTGTTCAAATGAAAATGTCAGACTCGATCTTTCCAGTCTATTTTCTTTGTTCTCAAGTGTGGATTCAGATTATCCAATAACTACAGTGGATTCGTATTATCATTACAATTTTTCTCAAATATATCATCGGAAAAGTGTTTCCAATAACATTTCAGAATGGGTGGCAATTTTTTTTAATCATAATCTTCAGGATTCTTACAGAACTGTTCATGTCAAAGTCTTCCAGACTATGTTCTCTACACTCTTAATTAACTGTGGATTCATATTTTCTAGTAATATTGTGTATATGCTTCACGAGCACAGGACCTCCACTCTTTGGGGTGACAGATCCTTTACTGCAGCATCAGCCCGAGTGTGGAGCCAACTACTTCTGGCTATCAAATCATCTCCATCCATCACAACATTTAAGACAAACATAAAATCTCACCTGTACAAACAAGCTTACTCTCACAACACAATCCTAACTGGACTTTCTCCTCAAGCGCCATGAGCGCCTCATTAGGCGGATACCGGCGCTTTACAAATGTTCTTTTATTATTATTATTTATTATTATTAGTATATTACTGAGAGTAATCTGTCATAGAATGTATACATTCTTGCAATATGTACAAACTACCAAACTGTATTATATTGAACTACAATAATATAAACTGCTCTTTGTATAATAGCTATTTGTTTTAATTTGCATCATAAAATGTGAGGTTTTTTTTTTACTTTTGCTGTACAAAATTTCACAGATTACTTTACAAAAAAATTATATATACGTTTAAAATGAAAACGTTTCTAGCAGTTTGTTATAAAAAATCTTGTAATAAAATTGCTCACTGGACTATGTACATAATTTGTGTCGGGAAATATGAACATATAAATAACACAGATTGCATCAATCCATTTGATGGAAACCTCCCGACTTTCAGAAAACACTGCTTTATTTGAAATTCCGTTATTCACTAAAGGTCTTCAGGGCTGAACAAACGAATTTAAGGTTTGTGTTTGCATCAGTGAAAGCTTAAAAAACATCTCACCGAGTGCTCTGTACGACAGACAAATTTCAAATTGGCAGCCAACCATGCAGAGGGTGCGTTGGTTGATATTTCTTCTTCTTCATGTCTTTGTTATCCTCAACACAAAATATCACAAACCCCTCATTTTCAAGGCTGATTAAATATTGTCTATAAAGGGCATAGTGTTTTTTTCCTGTTGCGCATTACGGCTTTTATCGATTTTGTTTTGTCGAATTTGAAATATAAATTTATCATTTCTAATAAAAATTTGACCTGACTGGAATGCTTTACAGTACACATGTAGTCTTTGCACAGTATTAGTTTGACATATCTGAAATTATATCATCTTCTTGTAAAACACTAGGCCTATCTGTTGAATGTATGATTTTGCTGTTGCGTGGTATTTTCAGAAATCATCTCAGAATATGGTGGAATTGTTTTGGGTTCAGTTTTGGCCCAAGTCATGCACATTGTGTTCAGCCTGTTGACCCTCGAGGTGGCCGTACTGGTTTCAGTTCATCCTATAATCGTCCAATTTCTGCGTTGTCCAGCTCTCGGGCCATTTGGCACAGGGCAAATGGACAACAGCAGCTCAGTGTTAGGCAGTCATCGCAGATTGAACCCTGGAGTGGATAGAAACAAAATGTTGGCATTAACTGAGAAATTACCAGGAACAGCTTTCTAAACCCAACACGGTACCTTCACCAGTGCTCAACCAAATGAGCTGTCTAGCTTGTCTTATATCAGCAGTCTTCCGTGATGTATTGAGCACCTGCGGCCTGCCTTCATTATAGTTGGAAGTTCTATTAGTATAAAGTTCCAAGATCTTGTTCCCGAGGTTCTACATTTCAATCTAGCCACGGCGAGCCGAGGGAAAATCGAAAATAGAATTCTCCGTGGATTACAAGGAAAGTCTACACTACACCACGAGTTAAGCAGTCAATATTTAAACTATCCCTCATCCGCAGTGATGGCTCTACATCATAATTCTTTTTTCTTTTTAGGGGAACTACACAAAATAAACTTCTTGACAGTTTCTGACCTCAATGTTTTGCTGCATCCGAAGCTTTGTTCTCAGCGCAAAGACTCCTCCCGGAACACAGGCCACGACACAACAGGACTCCCCGAGTTGACGGGCCAGTGAACAGGCCAAACACGGTGTGCACAGCGCGCCCAGTAAACCTAATCAAATATATCAGAAGATGGGTGCCGGGTACATTATGTGGAAATAATGTTGAAGATCTCAGCGTTAATTATGGCCAAACGTAACTTTGACTCGGCACTTCAACTATACACAAACGAACAGAACGCGACAATAATCTTTAGAAACACAACCATGCTCAAACAAACAGGCTTGTGCCATCCTTTTAAGATATCTACGTAGAAACCTACTCCAGCATCAATAGTTTCTAGAATTTAGTTTTTTTTCCCATGGTATTTATTTTTTTGGCCTTGGTGATACATTTTTGTATCAGTACATGAAAAGTCTAAGCACAAAAGTTATGCACAAATATGTTCCAGTTACCAAAAAAATCGGGTTCACATTTTAAACACCCCCCGCTTCGTAATCTGGAGAGTGTGTTCCTAACGTGGCATCACGGAAACAGCGCCCCCAGTTGTCAGAAAAAAAGCATGGGTGTTTTACATGTTATGAAAAGTGGACTTTACTAGATAATTAACCAAAAAGAGGATGTCTCATAATTTTCATACATTTCGGGGAAATGGATATATGCACAAAATAAGTTCCATCCTAAATTTTATGTCATGCATCTTTAGCAAGGAGCTCGATGTTTGGTTGGTTGTTTGACTATTTAAATATTATGTCAACGCAGCTGCTAGCTTACACGTGTGTTCGTCCTCCATACATCCAAAGAGTTTAGTGGACCAGTCCGAAGTCACCTGCATAACCCACCAAAAAGAAGAAAAAACAACGAATTCAAGTGCATCAAGTCATGAAGACTGGAAACAAAGGCGATCTAAGATTCTTTGAAAGACGTTTATGTATAGTACCCTGTAGATGAGAAGAAAATTAATTATTTTAATTTTCAAAACATGTACAAGTTTCAACAACAAACAAAGGAGGATGGCGGGAAAAAAAGAAGCGGGCAGGGATGAGAAACGTGTTTATTTTATTGTTTTACGTCCCCTTACATACGGGTAGGCCTAGTCTGTTCTTCTTTAAAGTTGATTTCTGAATTTCCAAATGAAAGACATTTAAATTTGGCCCACAGCCAGTGGCTTCCGTCAGATCATACGGAACATGCGAGCAATGTCAACACTAATGACGAAATCGAAGAGGGCGCCCCCGTAGAAAGATGGTGTCCAGCCCCTTCCCCTACTTTTCGATTTTACCGGTGTGAGGTGACCGGTAAAAAAAAAAAACCTGTCTATCTTTAGGCCCGATGCTACAGAAATTGCCCAGCCCTCACTTCTATGGTGAGAACGCTGGCTACACCGCGATTCTAAACTAAGGACACTGGATTACAGCCATCATGTGGCTTGCGTACAAGATCGTACGGAACATTCGAGCAACGTCAATATTAAAATACTGTAACGTAGAACGAACTGGGGTTCTCACACGCCAGACGAAGGAAACCACAGACACCATCCTTCAGGGCTTCGGGGCTCTCCGGCCATTTATTCTTTCCACTTTCTTTACACGAGGCTCTCTCTTTATACAACTCACAACAAAAAGGACGCTCTATCGAAGTCACACTACTGAGACGGCGCAGTCTGGCAACGGGTCTCCCTGGCCCAGCAGCAGGGGTCTCAACGCTACGGCGGCCCTCTGCCGGCGGCCCGGCACCGCCGTTACACAGCCCCCTCCGAGGACCCTTGTTCGTCCCCGAACAAGGCGGCGCCTCCGCTGGGGTATCCGCTTGGGTCTCCTGGTCTCCTCTGTGGTCTCCTCCGGGGTCACCTCTGGGGTCTCCTCTGGGTTTTCCTCTGGGTTCTCCGTTTGGATCACCTCTGGGATCACCTCTGGGTTCTCCTCTGGGCCCATTCCGGGGTCTCCTCTCCATTGACTCCTGTGCGGAGAAGCTCCATCGGCTCCGCTCCACTGAGTCCCGTGCGGAGCAACTGCGCCGGCTCCTCTCCATTGACTCCCGTGCGGAGCAACTCCACGGTTCCGCTCCATTAACTCCCGTGCGGAGCCACTCTGTCGGCTCCACTCCATTGACTCCCGTGCGGAGCAACTCCATCGGCTCCGCTCCATAGACTCCCGTACGTGCGGAGAAACCTCGCCGGCTCCGCTCCATTGACTCCCGTGCAGAGCAACTCCATCGGCTCCGCTCCATAGACTCCAGTACGTGCGGAGCAAACTCGCCGACTCCGCTCCATTGACTCCCGTGCGGAGCAACTTTACCGGCTCCGCTCCATTGATTCCCGTGCGGAGCAACTCTACCGGCTCCGCTCCATTGATTCCCGTGCGGAGCAACTCCGCCGGCTCCGCTCCATTGATTCCCGTGCGGAGCAACTTCGCTGGCTCCGCTCCTTTGAATCCCGTGCGGAGCAACTTTACCGGCTCCGCTCCATTGATTCCCGTGCGGAGCAACTCCGCCGGCTCCGCTCCATTGATTCCCGTGCGGAGCAACTTCGCTGGCTCCGCTCCTTTGAATCCCGTGCGGAGCAACTTTACCGGCTCCGCTCCATTGATTCCCGTGCGGAGCAACTCCGCCGGCTCCGCTCCATTGATTCCCGTGCGGAGCAACTCCACCGGCTCCGCTCCATTGATTCCCGTGCGGAGCAACTCCGCCGGCTCCGCTCCATTGATTCCCGTGCGGAGCAACTCTACCGGGGAACACTCATCCGGCGCTTGCACATGCTTGTATGAATGTGTGTGTTACGGGGCTGTTCCCATCGTGGGCCCTGGCACGTGTGTTGATGCGGGGTGTCTCTGGACGATCAAGCCCGGCCAGCCCTGCTTTATCAACAGGCGCAACTCGGCAGTGTTCCGAGTGGAACGAAACGTCTGTTGCGCCGTGGTGCACAGCGCGACGCGATTCCTCATGGGATTCGTCCGTTGTATGAATGTGTGTGTTACGGGGCAGTTCCAGGGGGGAACGTGCACCCGGTGAATTGGTGTTTGTGAAAAGGAGCTGTTCCGGAGGAAAACATGCGTCCGTTGTATGGTGTGTGTTACGGGGCTGTTCCCATCGTGGGCACTGGCACGTGTGTTGATTCGGGGTGTCTCCGGACGATCAAGCCCGGCCAGCCCTGCTTTATTATCAGGCACAACTCGGCAGTGTTCCGTGTGGAACAAAGCGTCTGTTGCGCCGTGGTGCACAGTGTGGCGCGATTCTCCATGGGATGTAGCATGTGGGCCTAGCTGGCTCCCCGAAACACTGAAAAAGTCCAACTCCGAGTCATCCAACGTGACGAACGCTTTGCTGGCCATCTCACCAGGTTGGTTTACGCTCTGCGAGGCCCCGATCCAGCGTGCGTACCCGCCGTTTGGCGAGTCGGACGCCAGACTAACTCGACCCGGTGTATTCATGGCGAAAAACACTCCAAATTCTACCTGTTTTTTCCTCCGCCAGACATGCCACGGCTGCCACCAATGTAACGTAGAACGAATCTGGGGTTCTCACACGCCAGACGAAGGAAACCACAGACACCATTCTTCAGGGCTTCGGGGCTCTCCGGCCATTTATTCTTTCCACTTTCTTTACACGAGGCTCTCTCTTTATACAACTCACAACAAAAAGGACGCTATATCAAAGTCACACTACTGAGTCGGCGCAGTCTGGCAACGGGTCTCCCTGGCCCAGCAGCAGGGGTCTCAACGCTACGGTTGCACCGTTGGTCCGTGCTGGCGCCCTCTGCCGGCGGCCCGGCACCGCCGTTACAATACTAACACATTTTTAACGTGCAGAGAATGATGAAATCAATGATGGAAAGCTATAGATATATAGCCCATGTTTTCTTGCTTGTCATTATAAGCTCTAACGGATGCAGTGTGTTGTCAGTTGCTCCACACTGTTGTGGCCTGGATGAGCGAATACATAATGACTTGAATAAAAGCAAACATGTAAGTGCGACAAATCGTTTTAACTGGCAATGAAGTTCGCAATTCGGAAATACATGTATTTGGTGTTTTAATGAAACATTGCTTTGTAAGTTTCATCGAGCAATATGAATATCAAACTACGTTCATCCAATGGCCTAGATAGTCAGATTGAGTCATTGGGTGTATTTAAATTCGAAAGGAAGTATTTCAATTTCGTTAATAACGTTCGTGTTGACGTTCGTGTTGACTTAGTCTCATACTTATATGATTATCTAAGGCAGAATTCAGCTATTGATTTTTAAAATCTATTTTCTCAGGGCATCCCGGCGCACTTTGGCTACGCCTGTTGGACATTTCCATCTGCCTTTGCTTTGTAACCGAAGTCGACTCACTGATACTACCGCCAACTTCAAACGTGGTCATCTCTTGGCCTACTTGGAGGAGAAGAGGATGAAAGCGGAACGTCACGCCATTCGTAACCTTCTAGGTGTGCTCGCTTACAGGCAAGAAAACGACCGTCAGGGCGCCTTGGATTACTTCAATCACATCCTCTCTCCGGGAGAAGACCCAGACAACCTGAACGCCATGGCCAACCGTCATTTTGTGATGTCTATGTCCAGAGGTGGAATTCCCGCGGCTGCTCCTGACGAGCCTGATTTATCTACAGAAGAAGGGAAGAGGGCACAAGCCAGGAGATACGCCGAACAAGCCTTTGCCCTCATTGACGAAAAGAACAACGATGCTATCTATTATGAGCGATCCAGCAAAGTGCTCGAGCTTTGCAATCAGGCGATGGAGATGGCGGATCACCTCGTCCATCTAGACGAGAGCAATGATTGGAAGTACCTGGCTGGAGAAGCCAGCTACGAGATGTTACAGAAAACAATGAAGACAAGTGAGACACACGACGAGGCCTTTCAAGCTTTGGATAATGCTTTCCGGAACTTTTGGACCATAGCGGAACATCCATCTGCGGATGTCAACATGAAAAGCTCGGCCTGGGTTCGGATTGGTGTAATCTTTCGCTTGGCATCGAAATGGAATGTGCAGATAGGAGACGTATCGGAATCTTTGGCGGAATGTATCGATGACCCGGAACGATGCGTACGCAAGGCGAGGGACATAGCACCAGATTCCCCTCATGTTCTCAATTGTCTTGCTCGTTTTCGTAGCCAAGCCGGTGATGTGGAAGAAGCTCTGATGCTATACGGGGAGTCCATCCTTCTACCAAGTACCAAAGAGAATTTCTTCGCGTACTCAAGCAGGGCCGAACTCTGCCTCGAGCGATACAAACGTGCCGTCAGCGCAGATGCTCCCGATCGGAGATACCTTGATCAAGCCAAAGACGACTTGGAGTACATCCTTCCGAAGCACGAATCGCAATTTGATTATGCGAGGCTCGCTGATGTGTACCTACAAATGGCTAAGATCACCGTCGACTCAGTAACAAGACGGGAGTTCTTCATCAAGGCTCTGCACAACTGCTTCATGTCAGAGAACTGTCAGAGAGGCAACGAACCGGACCAACTCCACAATGTCCGCGGGCGATGTCTGTGCTTACTCGGCCAGCATAGAAGAGCAAGGGAGTCATTCAGACGCGGTATTGAATGTGAAAGGAAGTCAGGCTGGTGGGGTGAGTGCAGGAAACTTCTAGCCGATTGCGAAGATCAGCATCGTCAGGAAGACGAAGAGGATGGCTGAGACGCACCAGGAGCTTATCCAGGTACTGAATGGGAGGGAAGTGGGTTTTCACTAGGAACAATATACTGAAATCTTGTATCAAAAGTCCATGTATATACAGTCAGCTGGCAACAGAAACACATTGGGATCAAAATTTATTTTACATCGGACTGCAGTTATAACGATCATCACCAAAATTCATGTTCGAAAAAAGAGCAAAATCT